TGGGGTGTGGAGCCAGGAGAAGACATGAGTAAAGTTGATCCAAGGTTGATGCAATGTGATCTATAAAACAATTTGCTGAAAAATATTTTGTGCATTATATTTGTGGGACTATGGTTCATGCTAAATTCTATGCAGTAAGGTAAATGAGTCAGGATATGGTAATTCATGTCCTGTCTTCTTAAAGACAATGAAGCTGGACCTCTGGGGGAGGAATGATGAATTGAAGAGCCAACAACAGCAACATAGACGAAGGAACTGGTGAGTAGATCAGTTCCTGGAAACTTCTCTGAATAGGAGTGAACAGTAGATTGCCCACAGATGCTCTGGATTGCTTTTCCTTGTGAGAAGATCACACACAGTGTTTTTCTGTGGATTTGATGGCTTGAACGTAAAGGGATTAGCCATCTTGCTTGGATCCATAATGGGGCCTATTAAAGGACACAAAGTTTGCACCTTCATTTCTAATCACCTTTGGAAATTGCAACAATTTTAAAGCTGTTAAAGACCTTTAGAATGACACATCTGAAAAGTCTTCATTGGGAGAATTTAACTTCAGCTCTGAACAAAAGAAAAATTAGTTGCAAGCTTAAGAACATATGGAATAAGAAATAAAGAGCAAAAAACTGAATAAGTTTTTGATTTTAGAAAGTTATAAATAGACTAAAGTTCTAGATACTTTTTAAACAAGATTTTCGAATTCCTTATGAATAAACAGCTTCTCATGAGAAATAGACCTGTTTTGGTTTTTGGAAGACAGAGATATGTAATTTTATGATTTAAAAACTGGATAGTAGATGCTATTAAAGAAATGACAGATGTAGAACAAATTTTATCTGACTAGAGGAAAATCCAGATTATAAACCAAGAGAGCGACAGAGACATTTTTTTCTTATTGGATTTACAAAAGAGGCTTCTTAAAACCTTGAAGAATTCTGTGTGATGGGACAAAAATGAAATGAAGAAAAATCAAATCTTACAGCAATAATAAAGATGGGATACAAATAAATAGAAAAAAAATTGATTTAGCTAAAGATGAAAACTTGGAAATAAAAGGAAGGAATATAAAGTTGGCTTATTTGATCAAGCTTAAAATAAGATGTTATCTCTGGCAACTCTTTATGGACTTAAAAGATAATGCATTATGGATTTGTCTATAGATAAGGGATGGGATATAGGTTGAACAGTTAATTGTTACCTAAGAGGCAATGAAGAGTCACTAAATTTGTTTATTGTGACGAAAGTTGGAAGTCATTTCTTTATATTTTTTATTCATTATATTGTTGCTTTTTTCTTCTCTCTTTTCTTTGCACCTTTTATTTTTTCTCTTTTTAATTTTTGTTTGTATTACATTTTACTATTATCACCAACATACTTACTAAAATTATGCATCATAAAAAGAGTGAACTGGTGGAGCAATTAAAACTGACTGGATACATCTCTAACTATTGTTGGCACAGTGATTCAAAAGCAATACACAGAATTCTGTTCTTGAAGAGGTGGTGTATGATAAACAAATTGGATCTAGTTTTGGCTGAGCTCATACACCAGAAAGAATAAATGTGAAAATGTTCTGGAAGAATTCAGTCTAGCCTTAATTTTAGGTCTAAATCAGTGATTTGCTGGGTAGTGACAAACCTTTTGAGAGAGGAAAAAATGCTGAATAAATTGGTGTTCAAGGAAGGTAAAATCCCTTTAACCAACCCACGCTTTCTGTTGTGAGTGCCAATTCATTATGGCAAAATAATTGCTGTGTAGTAAGCAATGAAGAGTTGCTCATTAGAAAACATTGCACAGACATAATTTCTTTAGCTCAAGCTGCTATTGGCCTGATAGTTAGAATCTGCTTTTAAGAAGCTTCTGTGAATGTGTTAACTATGGCTTTAGGCAACACATAGGCAGGCAGCTGTGCAGTTCACTGAGCACTAAAGCTATAAATGTTAGCTTAATGCACAGCTAATGACAATGATTACAGTAGTGCATCATAGTAATTTACTAGTACATTGAGTTTCTTATGGTGCTTGCTTCAAGGCTGGTGAAGAAAATCACATAAACTGCACCTTGAATAATCTAATTAAAATAAGTGCATTTTCACTCCCTGCAGATTTTTTACAACAGAAAAAATTATGTTCTTCCATCCCACAATTATTAGATAGATAGCTTTGTTATCATCAGTTTAAGAGAATCTGCTATTCCATGTAATGAAGTGATCTTGCAGGGATAAACATGCAAGCTGCAAAATCCTTTAGTAACTGTCTAATTTTGTAAACTTCAGATACAAAATATTTTTATTATAACCTGAAATTTGAGGAAGCTTGGGAAAGAAAATGTTACTCATTAACTCAGGATGCATTCAGGATTCAGATGTTCATTTTTTAAAATGAATTTGGAATATGATGCTTAGAATAAGCATTGTGTTTCAAATTGATTTTAAAAAATACATTGCCTGTTGTCATGTCACTACAATAGACTAACCATCATTTCTGGAAGACAGAAACAGACAGCAACCCACCCTGTTAATTCCATACTTAATATCAAAGTAACTAATGGTGCATTTTTCTGCTCCACTTTCAAAACACAGTTTTCCATGTTATGTTGCCTAGAGCACTTCTGTATCTTTGGGATAGCTTGCTTCAGTTTATTCAGGATAACATCAGAGATTCATGAGCTATTTTAGAGGCAAGAACTCTCCTTCAATTGAGTCAATGCTTACATGGTGGTCTGGTACATTTTGGGTCTTTATCCTTGTATGAAAGCTGTAGTAGCACAGTGGTTATAAAGAGAAGGCTGAAGGTTTCTCTGACTTTGATACTTTCCCTGTGCTTTCTTTCTAATGTCCACAATGCACCGTTTCATTATATTTTCCAGATTTCAGAAATTTATAAAATAATAAATAAGCAAAACATTTAAAGTATAGCATTGTTTCTGAATGGGATTTTTTGATTTCTGAAATTTGATGGGTAAATATATATGTATTTATGGCTGTGAACATATAAAATCCTCAAGAATATTCTAAATATTAAGAATCTTTTGCAGAATGTGTTGCTTTGGCTTCCATTTATTTCTATAGTTAACATGTTTGAGTTGCAGGATGAGCCACTAAAAGCAAAAGAAAGGATACTTTGAAAATTAGACACCCTCCCCCCCCACTCTCACTAAAGCCTTTGCCCTTCTAAGGTGTACGTGTTTCATTGATAAATGAAATTTAATGTAACATTGAATGAAGGTGCTTGTCCATTCACAGGATGGACAGGAGGAACTGAATGTATTAGGATGCCATCACATAACCATATGTAAGTGCTGAATATTAAAAATATCCTCCTTATAAACTATTATGGAGAACTAAGGACTGATTTTTATGCTGATCACAGGATGGCCTCATCCAGCCAAAATAGTGTGAGGCAGTGCTGCAGTTAACGTGTTCATTGGTGGTTGCCACCACAATCTCCTTTTCATCTCTTCAACAGGAATTTAGAAGCAGGCCAGAAAAAAGGAAAATTCTCCTCTTTACTGTTAATTGAAAACAAAGGTTTAAGTCCACTTAGTAATAGCTAATCTGCAGAGGCCTGAGCTTTTGGAATCTTGTTACAAGATTCAAACCGGCATGAAAAAGTCTGTTTAAAATATTATATACTTTATTAGAAGAAAAAAAAACCAGGGAAAACATAAATGAATGTTGGGTTTAGAAGAAAAGGATAAGTGTCATCTAAAATGGAGCTGAACCTCAGGGGGAAAAAAGTATCTGTGGAAAGAATCGGAAAGTCTTTGAGCACATTGAAAATAAGATGAAATTTAAAAATGGGCTTTTTGTCATTTGCTGCTATCAGAAGCCTGTGTGTGACTGACTCTTTACAAAGTCCTGGAAAATTACATTTTATTATCTTGGAATCGGTTTATGGTCCTGCGTGCTTTCTTTCTTCATCCCAGAGCCAAGCTGCTCTTTCTTTGGGAAGATTCTAAGAACAAAAATCTCGAGTACATTCTCCCCCTGTTATTTAACCTTAAAAAGAGGGGGAACTATGTTTCTCAGAGATTTAGGCAAATGACCCTTTTAGGCTGCCATGTTAGTGACAGAAGGGGGATGAGGTTGCAAGTCACTAGTGGTCATTCTGCCATGACAGACCCTCTCAATGTAAGCTTGTGATAGTATATGCATCTTTTGTAGCCAGTTGCTTTTATAGAAAAAATATTGCACAACTCTTATCTTTCAGAGCTGGAAGAAGGCAATGACAAACCATTTCTATATTGCTGCTTAAAAAGCTACATTGATGTGTCCATGAAGTCACCAGGAGTTAAGCTCAAGCTGTTTTTTTTAGCCTTCATAGAGTACAGCAGACTTAGGTCTAAGTACATATCCCTGATTTTAATAAAATAATGCAAGAGCATATTCAGTGATCATGTAGATAAAAATTAAATCGGGTACCTCACCCAAATTCCTCACCATGACGAAAAATATTAACAAAACTATTTTCTCAAATTTTCTCAAATTTAAATAATATATCTGAATTTGTAAAATGTGGTGAATTCAAAGAAGTATAATTTGAATGTTTCCTATCAGCAAACTTATCTATATTTTCCTTGTCTTTACTACAGTGTTTATCCTTAGTGTAAACTTGAGAAGTTGCTCCCGATTTGCCTCTAATATAGGTAGTCCTCGACTTATGACCAACATTTCTGAGCCCAATATTTCTATTGCTAAGTGAAACATTTATTAAGTGAATTTTGCCCCATTTTGCCACAGTTGAATGAATCACTGCAGTTATTTAGTTAGCAACACAGTTGTTAAGTTAATCTGGCTTCTCCATTAATTTTGCTTGTAAGAAGATTATACATGACTCCTGGACACTGCAGCCGTCATAAATATGAGTCAGTTGGCAAGCTTTCAAATTTTGATCACATGACCATGGGGATGCTGCAATGGTCATAAGTGTGAAAAACGATCGTAAATCCCCTTTTCAGTGCCGTTGTAATTTTGAGCAGTGACTAAATGAAGTCGAGAATTACCCGTACAAAAGTGAATATAAAGTCCAGATCTCAGAAAAAGCTATATGAGTGTTCTGGATTGTGTAGCAGAGACTAAGGCAAGATACTGGCTTAATTTCACCAAGATGACAATTAAGATTCCACCAATCAACAGCATACTTGGCCAGGCAAAAGCAATGAGAAGACCTTCTGGAGGATACAATCTCTTTAAAAGGACGCTCTCTACTGTTCTTGATGGGTCATAATGGCAAATAAACGTCCGATGCTTTCTGAAATTGTCTCTTATCTCTTTTACGTGCTGCTGAACTTTTTTATAATTCTCCATTTCAGGGGGAATATAGGAGCACTGCAGAAAAAAGAAAGAAAACTCAGGATACTGCTTTTCACAATTATTTACTGACGATAAAACAGTAATTTGGGGGTACTTTTAATCAATGCTGCCTTAATATTCTGCACTGTGGCTAGTGTGTACTAGATTATGAATACTGTATGTATCCTAATGCGACTTTGTAGGGCAGTGGTGGCGAACCTATGGCACGGGTGTCTATCTGTGGGCACACGTACCGTTGCCCCAGCCTTGCCTCCCCCCATGACCCCCTCACCACAACCCCCCTGGAGGAGAGTTGCCCCCGAGCGTGGCTCACGCGGAGCAGCGCAGCCAAGGACATGGCAGCCAGGCAGCATAGACAAGAGTCTGCCCTCACACCCCAACACGCACAGTTGATGCTGCAGGGTGCGGGCAGAGGGCGTGGCTGCCATGGCACTGCTGGGCTGCCTGGGTGATCTGTGGCGGGCCCTGGAGGCAGTGAGTGGCCCTGCGGGCAGGCAGGGTGGGGCGGAGTGGGGGCGGGGCAAGGGTGGGGCCAATTTTGGGACACTCGGTCTCTAAAAGGTTTCCATCACTGTTGTAGGGGAATCCATCAGCTTTCCAAAGCTATCCTTTACAATATTTACTTGTAATTAACCAAAGTTTTTCAAGGTCAGAGGAAGATCATAACTCAACCTATTCTTGCAACCAATTAAGGAATCAAAAGTCTTTTCCTTTGCTGTGATTGGAACTAAAGGAACTACTTGTACTACAGGTATAGTATAGGGTTGCAGGGAATTATTGCTAAGAAATAACTGGGATCATAGATTTCCTTCCTTCCTTCCTTCCTTCCTTCCTTCCTTCCTTCCTTCCTTCCTTCCTTCCTTCCTTCCTTCCTTCCTTCCTCCCTCCCTCCCTCCCTCCCTCCCTCCCAAAGCATGGAAATATTATTTATGTGAGTATAGATAGAAGGGATATTATTTTATTTATTTAGTTATTAAATTTGTATGCCACCCCATTAAATCTGTATAACTGGACAGCTTACAAATAGAGCATTAGGAATGAACTAACACATTTGCTAATAAGTAGGATATTAGATTAGAAGGAAAATGGATTCATGAAATTTTACTGAAGAAGGGGAAATATCATAGAACTTTTTAAAGGTTCTACAACTTTGTACATTTTGGGAAGAAATTTGAGAATTATATTCAATGTTTTGGAATTAAATATTTGAATTTCATCTTAGAGTTATGAAGTGACACTTTCTTAGTTGTAAACAGTAAAAGGAACTCTATGGCTATCTTTGCAATTTTGATAATTAGGTTTCATGTATAGTTTGCTTCTTTATAATTTTCTACAGATGTTTGATCTGCAGACTTAGGGATTAAATCCTACTGGTTAAATTGGGATGTACAGTAGATAGTTATTTATAATGTTATAGCTCGTGTTTTCACTTTGCCCTCAATACACACAAAGGTGAGGGTACAGTTTCATGAAGAAACAATTATAAATATTGCAATTATAAATATAGTCCATTGTTAAAATGGACTAATATAAACTTTAAACTATACATTTCTTGGGGGATAAGCATATATAGAATGATGCTGTTAAAAATTTTAGCATGCTGAAATGTTAAGTTATCCATTGATATGAGACAATGTGAATTGTTGGTGAGATGAATTTGATGTTCTGCTAAGAACATCAATCAAATATATTAAAAAGCCTAAGAAATGTTTTGAGAAAATGCTAAACATTTAGCATTAATAGGATTCTATGGTATCGGGGAAGGAAAGGAAGAAAGTCTAGTGTTATGAACCATGTGACAATTCAGTGCCTTGGGTAGAATACCTTGGAAGTCCAGTATATTGTTGTAATATAAAATTTGTAATGTGTTTTTTTTATTTACAAACTCGAGCATTGAAGATAAATGAAGCAACATTTTTAGTTATACCTTGGAGATCCAATTTTACTTAAGAAAAATTAGTTCATGGTAATATTTCATTTCATTTATATAAAAAATAAGTACTCTCCTAAAATTAGGACTGTTTAATTGAAAAGGCTGGAAATCTGAGGTCTACCCCATTTTGAAGGAAGTAACCAAATACAGTGTGAGTATTCCTGATTTCTCTTTTTAACTGTTCTTGCCTGCTGGAAATTGAATGTGTAAGCACCATTTCAAGGCCTTAAAGTAAACACTGAGCTGCCCTTTAGGAAAATTTGCTTTATTGTTTTTATCTACAGAATTATAGATTGCTGTGTAAATGAAATGATTTTCTGCTAGGTTACGAATTATAGCAGAGTGATCGGTTCCATAAGATATGAGCCTGAAAATGAAGGAATGTAAAAACATGATTAATTTTAAAGAAGACAGGTAGAGGAAACAGCATTTATATATTACGGCAAATAACAGCTTAAAGTATTTGATATCATTCTGAATTATTCTTACATAGTACAAGGATGAGCATGTTTAGTTTTATTCTGTTATAGCTTCTGATAATCTGCATCACTCTGAATTCCAGAAGAAAATGTAGTCTTGGAAGGACAAAAATAATTCCTGCATATGTAACCTTGCAGTAATGATACTGAATAATAATGACTTTTATTTATTATACACTGTCCAGAGTCCCTCTTTGAGGGAGATGAGCCATTCAGAAATACAATATATGGAGAGGATAACATTATTGATTTAAGTGTAACATTCTTTCAAAGCTGCTATGTGAAGTATGTCTAGGAGTTGAGGCACAGTGAGTATAAAGTTGTTTATTTGGGGAACAAAACAAAGGGAAGCTGCCTTCCATCAAACTACCACTTAAATACCGCAGAGCCCAAGTGATGTCTTTTATGCGAGGAACAACTGTATAAATACTATCAACATTGCATATTGCTGACAGGCTAGGAATTCAAGATTGTGGCCGAACAAAATTCATTACTATTCAAAAACCTTTATCATTTGTATAATCTACCAGGACAGACAAAACTCTGCCAAAGAGAGTTACCTTTTGCTTCAGTGATATTTCAGGACAAGAAAGGATAATTTGACAAGAATAGCCATTGTATCACCATTTATTATATATATTCTCACATGGAACCTGGTTAGAATTTGTTGAGTAGTAGTAGAAGTTACAGTCTTAATATCTAGCACACAAACCTTGGGATTTCTGTTCACGGTGTTCTCTGTGTGGTAGAGCATTACCTCTTGCCCTAAATGGGTTACATTCACATAGACTTCCAGACAAGGATAGTGAAAAATATCTTTATCTTCAGAGCCTTCAACGAATGAACAATGGACTTTTTCCTTGATGTTAGCTCTCACCAGATTGCATTCACTTTCATCAGCCCAAACACTGCAGAGACAAATTTATTAAGAATTTATGCATAACTTAAACCTGGTAGTACATAAATACATCTGTTTCTGAGATTGTCAGCACGTCTTGTGTGAAAAATGGGGTGAGACAGAACAGCATTAAAATTATATTGTCTATGTGAATGAAGGCACATGTAGATTTTAGAAAATGCTGTGGCAAAAATATATAAACTATATTCCATGATTTTAAATGTGTTTTTTCCCAAAGATTTTAAATAATATCTATGTTTTCAAAAATGCACTTGGTTTAGTCTGTAGAGAGATTTGCACATGCATTTTTGTGATCATCTTATTATATGGAATTTATACAATAATTGTATGCTTTTTTTTAGGGTGACAACCATATTTTTTTATATTCCACCTTTATTATTTTTATAAATAACTTAAAGTGGCAAACATACTTAATATCCTTCCTCCTATTATCTCCACAAAAACTCTTTGAGGTGCATTGGGTTAAGAAAGTGACAGGCTTTTATGCCTAAAGTGGGACTAGAACTCATAGTCCTGGTTTCTAGCCTGAAGCCATAACCACTACACCAAACTGCCTTTCATACATACTTAATATTTCAGATTACTAAAAATTGAATAGAAAGATATTTCAAAACAAATAGAAATGTTTATGATTAATTGATTAAAATTAATACAGGATAACTTTCCACATTCAGATCAGTTTTGAATAATGCAAAAAAGAGTGTTACTTCCTAATGGATTTGATGGGTCAAGTGGAGATAGGGATTGTCTCTATAGAAAAAAATAATCCTACCTGGGATCCCACAGTGCCCAGTTATACTATTGCCATCAAGTAGAGTACTACAAGTATTAAGTTCTTAACTGTGAAAAATGATAATAATAATTCGTGTTCTAGAAGCAAAAACTTCTTCCATTTAACCAACACATACTCCAGTTTAACAATTTATGTTTCAGCTTTCATATATTAATGAACATTATTAAGTGCTTTCTGAATACAATAGAATTTCCATTTTTGAGAGGCATCACATGTTCAGAGCTATGTGACATCAAATTCATTAGTATAATCCAGCTAGCCATTCACTGGATAGGAACATACTCTCTATTGGTATCCTTCCTTTCCTCAGCATTTTAAAGGGGCAAATGATGCATAAAAACCGATTAGTTTAATTTCCCCATCGCTGCAAAAAAAACAGAGAGGAAATAAATCATGGAAATAAGGCATATGTTTTGTACCTACACATCCCACCGCACATAAGAAAGACATTTCCCAGTCATCCCACAATACAAATGTCTTCTGTTAATGCTGGGAGTTGTAAATAGACTCATTTGCTGCTTGGAGACCCAGATTTGTTTGTGTGGTTTAAGAAATAAAGAAACGTTTACCTTTTTCTATGTAAAGGCACCAGGACTAAACCAATAAAAAGATACATCATCGCTGAGCAGGCCATCATTCCCAATCCTAGCCATAGGGCTCTGGTCTCCCCTCGTTTCTGTGTTGCCACCACCTTTTTCTGCAACATGACTTCTTGAGATGCTTTTGTGTTCTTATCTCTGCTAAAAATATAAACAAATCCATCTGGTTTGCTCATATGACTATACTCAACCTCATCCTAGAGATAGCATATAACTTGTTTTAATGTCATTAAGTACTTGCTTTCCAAAAATGAAAACTTGGAAACAAACCCAATCTTGGAGGGCATACAATAGTATTTACTCACATCTTCAAAGGTAACATCAAAAATTACCTGTCAGATGCTTAGACCATCGAGTATTTATTTTTAACAGGAACAGTATAATGGAAAAGGAAAGTTGGAATATTTGTAAATGCTGGTGGATTTTTGCAGCCAAAACTCTAAAGGGCATTTCATTTCCTGAAATCAGTGGTTCTCATCCAATACACTGGCCGCTTCAGATAGCAATGCTTGGCTGAAGAATTTGAGAGTTTGCTTTCTGGCTAAGCTTTGTAGGCTTTAGTGCATGGTGAGGTAGAAATAATGCTCAAATTTTCCAGGTAGTATAGAATATGTGAATTAATAATATTCTTCCCAAATAGAATGAAGGCTTGTTTTTTGATGATGGAGTGAGGAAATGAATATACCAACTGACCAATAGAGAAATGAATGACTCATCCAAAAGTAGAATAGAGAAGATATTTCGCCCAGTTTTCCTGACAGCCATGTTAAAAATGCAAAAAAGTTGAGAAATTTGCAATGTTCAGTTATGCTAGGGACTCAATTAAGCATGGATATAATTAATATGCAAAGTTCTGTGATGTGTTTCCTTCTTTTGCTTTAGTAGTGTTTTAGAAGTTCTCCTTTCCCTGTAGTCTGGTTTTCAGGAATTTGTTTATAGGTTTGGAGGGAAGACAGAGTCATTTGAGAAAAGTATATCAGTGATGCTGGTGTTGGTGACAATGGAGAGGTTATGATTCATTTTACTTCACCCTCAGGCCCTCCTTTCAATTGAATTGCAGTCTTGTGCAATGCCCCAAAGTTATCCAAATAGTGAAACTATTTATAACAATCCTTGGAGAGTGTATTTGTAAAGTATATTGCAGCTCGTATGCCATGTAACTATGCCATTTGGGCCTGCTGTGAACAGGGAGCCAGACAAAATATATTTCTTAATGGACACCCTTGAATAACTTCCAGTGTAAGATGCTATGAACCTAAAATATGTCAGTTTCTTTTCTAAGAACAGTGCTGTGCTGAACATTTCTTCCATATTATTTCCCCATCAATTCTCTCTCAGGCTGCTGGATAATAAACTGCTTTCAAATTTTAATACAGTTCTCATATGTTAAGTACAGCAGTCTATAGGAAGAAGATGAGCATGGTTTTAAAATTGGGGGTGGGTAGGTGAAGGGAATTCAATAACCTGTGCCAAGTTGATGACGCTATCTGATAGCTGAAAGTGCAAATGATCTACAAGCTCTAGTAATGAAAGTTAAGGGGCACAGAGAAAAAAGATGGGACTAAGATTAAATATAAAGAAGACCAAACTAATGACCACAGAAATAACAACCAGCTTTAGAATTGACAGTGAAGATATTGAAGGGGTGAATAACTTCCGCCTAGAATCATCAATACTAAATGAATTGGTTGTTGAGAATCACACCACTGACTAGCACTTGAGCAGCCAGGAAGCCCTTAGAAAAGATACTCAGATGTTGTATTGTGTGTCTATCTATGAAGATCAGAATGGTGCAAGCAATGATTTTTTCCTAAGGCTCCATGTAAATAGAAGTTGGACTTTGAAGGAGCAAGATAGAAATTGTATTGAAGCTTTTGCACATCGATATTGGAGAAGACTCCTGATTGTACCATGGAGGGTTAAGAAAATGGACAAATAGGCAATTGAATACATCAACCCAGAGTTTTCACTCAAGGCACAAACATCAGGTATAAATTATCATACCTCAGATTATGTGAAACCCTCGCTTTGTGGAGAAGGTCTTAATGCTTGGGGAGATGGAAGGATTCAGTTACAGTGACAGTGGGTGCATCATTGGAACACCTGTAGGACTAGGTAGAGAAAATCCATGTGGTTGTTAACAGTTGACACTGACTTTGATGGCACATAAACTACAAATTATGGTGGGACAGACCCATTTAGTATGTGTGATAACTGAGCTTAGTTCCAGTTTTCTCATAATAAAAAATTGGGTATTAGACTATGAATTTTGTTTCTATGATGCATTTTAATCCCAAAAGATATAATTTCTATGATCTCATTAACAAAACACATTCTTTTGATGAAAAAGGAATCCATTATTCTTCAGTTGCTAGATCTGTTTATTTTTTAAATCTTTTGAAATTAATCCTTCAAATACTGGGATCAGCTATTTTTTAATTGAAAATAAAACCAAGTGCAAATATTTTGTTCCTGTATAATTATTTGCATCAAAATTCCATATATGCTGTTGGGAAAATGAATTTATTGCTGAGTTTACCACTTCATATTTTTGCATTAATGTTCACTATATGTTCTTCTATATCGGGTGTCAAACTGCTGGCCCACGGGCCGGATGCATCATCTGGAAGCCATGCCCACACCATTGCCGGCAATGACAAAACCATCCCGATACATTGCGCGACGTCACGTGACGTCATGAGTTTGACATGTCTGTTCTATATTCTTCTCCTTAAGCATCCCATTTAAATTGTTTAGCTGCCCTGCTTTGTCCCAAGAATCATCCAAGTAGCATAGAACAGGAAAAACAGAACACAAATCCCAATGGATCACTTCCACACTCTTTTTGTGAAGTAATTTATATATAAAATAAAACATTGCTGTAATTAACAGGCGGAAGGCTTTAATTTTAATCTTTAAACATGATTTTCTTTGATTTATCATGGTTATACATCTTGTTTGTAGGATTCCTGGTATATCAGTTTATCCCAGTCTTGAATTCGGTTTTTATCATGATTTTTTTTCTTCTAGAATCTGATCTGATCTTTTTTTTTAAAAAAAAAAATCTTTTTTCTTAATTTATATATTGCCCTACATTTTTAGAAAAGTTCAGGAGAAATTTGAACTTATTTATTAAATCCATTAATTCACCTTAAACAACGTTCAGCATGAGTAATAAAAAGATATATTCTTAAGAACTGGGCCTTATTCCATTAAATGCTAAAATAGACAAAAAAAATAACCACTGTCAACACAGGTACTGTACATTAAATCCTTTTTTTTCCCTCAGGGATCAAAGGAATGTGGATGGTAGGGAAGAAAGGATAACACTCCTCCACCTTATTTAAGTCCTGCTGTCATGAATTTTAGAACCCATAACTCTTGATCTGCCAGCCAGTTGAATCTCAACTTGTCCTAAGACAAGAAAATATTGCAAATCTCTTTACATAACAATTTTACAGTAGTCATTAAATATAAATAACAGATTTTTTTTTAAAAAAACCCAATTTTGTAAGAAACCTGATTTTTAACAATAGATTTATTATTTTTCTTTATATGCTGTTATGCTGCATAACATATGCAATGGTGCCCATTTTCTATTGAGAAAAGATATCGGAGTCCAGTTCTTTCTGGAAACCATCTCTTTCCTTAATCTCTGAAATATCAATCTCTCTATGTACTTATAAGGTGAATAATATTTCTATATGTTTCAGTTCTCTGTGTGCCAATCTGCATATTGGGGGGGGGGAAACGGCAAGAGAGAGGCTACACTGGAAAGTTAGGAAAGTTTCAAGGTTGTACATTTAGAAAAACACTGAAAAGAATGTGGAGAGCCTTATGCTAGGTTAGAAAAATTGGTGAGAGGGATGAGAGTAAATTGACATCCCTGTTGAACAGGAATAATCTCTATTATATAACATTTGGTTCCAGGTCACAGTTTTTTAATCTGTACATTATATAGTTCAATGATAAAGATGCTGTGGATAACAGAACCATAGGAATGACTTTTGACATAAAACAGTGGAATAATGTTTCACTTTAATGCTACCATTACCAGAATAAAATCCCCATGTACTAAAAAAGTTGAAATACAAATTAGATGGTAAACAGAATGTACTTCAAAGGAACTCATTTAACATCCGATTACCTAAAATTAGAACATTCCACCCCTCATCCTCAAAATTGTTACCTATTTGCTATAAATGTCTACCTATCACAATTGGCACCCTAGACGTTTCTGTATTTTCTGTTATGTATACTTCCTATAGGCATTCTGAATATTAATTTTCATTCTAAAATAATGTCATTAAAGAAAACGAAAGCATTTCAAAACACCGAATCCCTTCAAGAAAGCAGGAATGGACATTTCAAAAACATCCAGTTCAAATTCCTTTCATTAAAACATTAAATGCTATTTAATTATCACAAAATAAGACTACAGTGCTGCTGTTGTGTGCCCATAAAGTAAAACTCATCATCTTAACATCATAAACACAAAACTATTCAGTTTTTTTCTCTTAGCAAATATGTATTGGTAAAAAAGGAAAACATCTTGTGTTTTTTGTTTCTCTTCTTACTTAAAATAAGGTTTAAATGTTCCTGAAATCTGGTAAGAATCTAATAGGAATCTAATAGTTCAGGAAATATTCATGTTATTCAGAAGTACTGTACATGCAGGATTGCTGAAAACATACTTTTCAGAGTCATGCTTACCGTCTTTGAAATGTGGCTTAGAAGTTCATGAATTTTTGGAAAACGTCTGATCTGCAAAGATCTGCTCCATGCTGGCACCCAAGTAGCAAATCTGTAGCTGTAAAAAGACTACCTTCCTCCAAACTTGCTGATGATGATTTTTGAGAATGGATGTTTAGTTAACTTGAGATTTCTACTACCATAAATGGTAAGGTATGGAAATGTGCAGGCTTTTTCAAGATTATTTGTGCAGCGCAGGAACTGATGTGTTATGAACAATTTTAAGCTAGCATCCTCTATTCTTTTGTGCTGGAAATAGAAAGATTCCTGTTATGTATATTATATTGCACTGGCTTACTTCTTAAAGTAAGTAACTGAGTATCTGTGGCATTTTCTAAATATTAACTTTAAAGAGATTCTATTGCCCAATCTTTACTTTATTTTTCTTCTTCTCATTTTATATTAAGATAAGGTTTGTGTTCAATTGTTCATATACAGTAAATCCAAATACAGTATGCATTTGGATTTATATGAACAATTGAACACAAAGTGTTGATTCTCTTGGACTTCAAAACATGATAAGCCGTAATGTTACCTTGGTGATTATTATTTATCTTCATGGCAACATGTCTCTCAGCAATTAAAAAAACTGAAAAAATAATAAAACATTAGAAATATTTTGATAAGAATAGACCAAAGATTCCCCAAAGATTCAGTTTACTTGATTGTTACATCTTGACTGCCACTTTTTTTTATCTGGTTATGAATCTGTCTGATAATTGTATGTAGAAATTTAAAGATTTTTTAAATAACGAGCCCATATTGTATGCTTGTAGATGCAAAAGGATTTAGAACTCTGAAAAAAGATGTACATGAATGGTCAATGTTTTAATGGCATTGTTTATTAAAAGATGGCACAAAGTTTGAGAAGATGGTGTTTAGTAGTGAAAGATTCCAGCCAAATATTGCAAGCAAAACTCCATGTTTTAACATGTTGTTTAAAGCAGCTGTGTTTCCTTTTGGGATTGGACAGTGGTGCTGTACAAGTTCTGCACAATCCCTGGAAAAGATGCTGTTGGTTTAGAATTGCAGACGGGGCCTGAGGTTTGCATCTCCTACACTCAACCTTTTTGAAATTAGTCTGGGGCATTCAGCTGGGCTACTTTTTTCATCCACTAATTAATATTGCCTGGTGATAATACATTTAAGTAGTAAAATGTTAGAAACCATACATTTTTTTGGGAGCTTAACTCAAATTAGTTAAACAACAAGCTTAGCAGAAAAGTTGGGCTTGGTCTTTTAGCATCCAGTTCACCTCAGTGCACCAGGAGTAGTTTTTTGTTCATCAAATGAAAACACCTTTGAATAAGAGAGAAATGTTTTCCATAGATATAAGCCATCGTGCTACCATTTTAGCACCATCACAGAGGTGCTAAAAATCGAGCTGGAGTGAAATATACAGAATATTCATGATTCAAATGGTCTTCTTGTATTTCCTTTCTTCTAGACTGCGAAAGTTGATTACTAGACCAGGACTTTGGACTGAATACTGCTTTCTACTGTGTTTCCTCGAAAATAAGATCCACCCCGAAAATAAGCCCTAGTCTGATTTTTTGGGGTGGGCCTAATATAAGCCCTACCCCAAAAATAAGCCTGGGAGGGGTGGGCATGGCCATCACAAACACTTTTTGCTCAGACGGAGAAATGACGGAGACTGGAAGCTTCGTCTGCTTGCAAATAGGGTGCTTGGAGACGGAGCGGATCGCTCGGTTTCTAAGTGCCCCATTCTCAATCAGACAAAACTTTCAGTCTCCCTCTGGACGAAAAGTGTTTGGGTGCCTATGGGACACTTGGGGCAGCTCCACCCCTTCCCCCATCTACCTCGCCCCATGGCAATGGCACGGCAGCCATGCGGCCTCCTGCAAGCAGCCACAGAAGTGTGCCAGCAGCCACGTGGGCTCCTGCTGGACAGGGCTGTTGATGCCGCCACCGCGAGGTGAGGCAGGTGTTGGGAAAAAAAGAAGATATCCCCCGAAAATAAGATCTACTGCCTCTTTTGGAGGTAAAATTTTTTTGCCTCTTATTTTCAGGGAAACATGGTATTATGGTACTTTTAGCCATGGTACTTTTCAGATAAACATACAATTCCCAGTATTCTTGAAGATTATTCTGTATTAACTAAATTTTGACACAAGAAAGAAAAAGGGAAGGTAAACAAGGTACTGTTCATTCAAACCCATTTAATGTTCAGTTTGAGCCCCCCAGAAACTACAGCTAAGGGCATGGGGGCTCAAGAGTTCCAAAAGTTAAAGTCTACCTATCCAAGCTTGCTCTAAAAATAGCCTGAAAACCATGCATCATTCTGCAGGCCTTCCTGTTGATTTGGAGTACAGGAAATACACTTATTATTTATTTAGCGTATGGTTAAATGTTAGAAAGCACATCACAGTTACATTTTCAATAAGCAAATATGAAACTGTTATGCTCTATTTGCAAATTCAAAGGTAAATTTAAAGGTAGACGATTTATATAGTCAGTACATGATTAGTTGCATACAGGTTTTCTGAGGTTTCCATGGAATTTAGTGTATTAGTAAATACACCAGAGATCTGGCTGCTAATTTCAAACCAATATGTGAAATGCAGACTTTTTTTCCCCATGTAGTTTTGCCTATCACTTTACAGAGAGAAAGTTGGAGCAGTTCAAAAGCAGTTAGCTTTTTACAACATGGAATGGAGAGCTTTTTACCAATGAAAATATTAACATTGACATTGTGGAAGTTTTTGTGAGTCCCAGTCTACTTATCAGAAGCCAGGAAAATTGACCCAGTTTCTTTGTAGTTCCTTTGCCAATGTGGTGAATGATTTGATTAAATGAAGCATGATAAGCAACACAATTGTTATTAAAAATAAAAAAAAATCTTTTTATTTATGTGCACTTTTTAAAAAGCAATTGGAATGAAAACAACGGTTAAGGTCTTCCTTAACAGCTAGGTTCAACTCATTATAAAAATGTGATTATTCTTAGGTACGTTCCTTCAATACCATATTTAGGACTCTGTCTGATTATTCAGTATATAAGACTACCTTGAGTAATTACTGTATTTTGGATGTATCGATGTGTTTGTTTTTTTAAATAGATTTATATAGCTGTAACAACTGTAATAATAAAACTGAGTGTGTCTGAATCAGTAAAAACAATATAAAATCCCATACTGTAAAATAAAAATCTATAAAAACTCAAGGCACTCCAAAGTAGCACTGTGCCACACTTATGCACCTTCTTGCTTGGTTCCAACATCCTCCCACAGTGTTTCTGGCAAGATACAGCTTCTCAAGACCTTCCAGATAGCAAGGAAGATTAGGGCCTGATGGATCTCTACAGAAAAGTTATTCTACAGGATAGGAGCAGTTACAGAGAAGGCACACTTTCTAGATCCCACTAGATCAGGCATGTCAAACTCGCGACGTCACATGACTTTCCCCCCATTGCCGGCAATGGGGTGGGCGTGGTTTGCAGTTTGACATTCCTGCCCTAGATAACAGATTTTTAAATAAGAGACCTGCGGTGTGCCTACCCTATTTGATCTGGTGGGACAGGCAGATGCTGTCCTGCAAGTAGACTGATTCAATGGCATATAGGTTTTAAAGATGATAACCAGCCCCTTGAATTGCACCTGGAAATGAAACTGTAAGCCAATGCAGCTTATAACAAAAATGGTGTAATTGGAGGAGACTGTGGGGTGCTCAGAACTCATGAGTTGCTTCATTCTGGACCAGTTGCAGTTTCCAGATAGTCTTCAAGGGCATCTCCATGGAGAGTGCATTGTAGTAATGCAACCGGGAAATGGCATGGCAGAAGTTTACATTTTTTAAATCACAAGTGTTTTCATGCCTTTAGCCACTAATTGTATGTGGTGGTCATTCTCTTCCATGTCAACCCCAAAATTTGATAACAGCTTGTAGAATAATTTGCATGTCTACCCAAGCTTTGGCTTAACACCCCTTATTTACATTTACATTTATTTATTTAAAACATTTACATTGCTGCCCATCATAACTAACTCTGGTCAACTCCAAATCATAAGTTAAAACAACATATAAAAGGATAATTACTAGCAAATAACTCCTTCCTTCCCTCCCTCCCTCCCTCCCTCCTCAGTAGCAGACCTCAGGGGAAAAAAGGAAAAAAGATAATATTAATATACTAATATTAGTTTTATTTCCAAATTGCCTTCTCTCAACCTGATTTTAATTTCTTATGAGAAAATAAATGGCTGTGAATACATATATTTTCTTCTCAGAAACTATTCCAGCTGGACTGAAGATGGGATGTGGAGCTTATAATTATTATTCATTAAATATTCTAACTCTTTCTGTTGCAAAACTGTACAAAATGTAAAACTACATAATTTTATTTAGAGGCTGGGATAAAAGGAAAGAGTCTTTCACACTTCAGGCTTTATAGACTAACAACCAAGTGCTGACTGTACTTTATTGGATAATGAAACTTAAGCAATCTAATTGCAGAGTAAATAATATTTTTGGATAACCTATGCAATGATATATACCATATGCAACTAGCATGTGCAGAAAAATACTGGAATTTATTTTAAAAAGATGGGTTAATAAATGTTTTAACTGAACTGGTGCTCGGGGATAGGAATTCTTTCTTGTTGCTAAAGAGTCAGTGAACTATAGAATCAGAATATTTCTAATTTTAGAAAAAGCCAAAGATGAAATAAAGTACATTAACAGGACATAGTAAATAGTCATTCTAATGCCATAAATTGTAATTGCAAAAGAAATTAAATGTAAATGAGAATCTCCTGAAAGGTGAGTAGAAAATTCTTGCTTTTGCAGATAACTAACTGGGGAAAGTAAAAAAAAAAAGTCATATGAATAAAATAGAGGCCACAATGTTAAAGATTTCACACATTTCACATAAAAATGAATTGTAATGTAAAATGCTGAGTAGTATGTAGATAAAAGAGTATATACCTGAGTATATGCTAGTTTATAGCTTGGAGATGTGGAAAATAACATTATATAATTCTCCATAGTGTAATTCATGGAGAGTTCTGAAAAAGGGGAGAAAATTAAAATCATGTAACAGTTAAGACAGGTAA